GTTCCTGGGCTGCACCGACCTCGTCGATAGCTCCCCGACGGCGCTTCTCCCGGCGTTGCGCTGCGGGCCCCTTGGGATGCTGGCGCTTCCGGCGCTCAGCCATGGTAGTGGAGTTGCCTCGGGAAGCGATTTGGGGTGTTGGTGGTGCTGTCTAGGTGTGGTGTGATGACGACAGCACGCGTGACCGGTGTCTGCTCCGGTCGCCGAAAAAAGCGGGAAATTTTTCACCGAACAAATAAAAGGAGCAAACCCAGAAAAAATACGCTTCGCTCTTTTTACGGAAACGTAGAGGAACGCCTCCATATATTTCAAGAAAATTCGGTTTTGTAACCGAATAGGTATTTTTTCGGCCTGATAATAATACCCCAACCGATTCCAAAATAAACAGTGGCAAACGATTCCTCTCATCAGTCTCTAGATGGGTATTTTTTGTTTTTCCCGGGGAAACTCTTGTTCTCGAGATATTCCACATTGTGTCGTGCCGTGCTATCGGAGATATTTTTGCTGTTGAGCAAGACGCTCCCACAACAAACTGGCACACCTGGCGGCCCGAACAACACGAGACACGCACGCAAGCAAGCAAGCACCATGACACGGCGTAAGAAGAAGAAAATCGACAAGCGTGGAGCCGATGGCCGGGCGGTTCCGAAGAAACCGAAGCCGGCGCAGCAACATGATCTTCCGTCACGCGGCGCTGGTGATGCGCTCTCCGACGGCCACGACAGCGTCGATTTGATGGACGTGGATCAGGAAGAAGGCAAGGCGGCGGCAGACGAGGATGGTAACGACGAGGACTGGTGCGATGAGGATACCAGCGGCGCACACAGCAATGGTAGCGGTCAGTCGATCCTGAGTTTTGCGAAGTGGTCGGTGGCGTCCGCAGGTCGCGATGCAGGAAGTGCGGCGGAAAAAAATCCGCCGCGTGTGCTGTCGAGAAGTCAGCAATTTCGCAACAGAAAAAAACTTCTCCAGCAACAAGCAGCAGGCTTGGCACGAGCTATGTGAGCGTTCATCCGGAAGTCGCAGCAGCAGCAGCAGCAGCAGGAAGAGGAGGAGAGCTCCTCTGCCAGTGGTGAGGTTGGCCCAGCAGAGAAGTCAGCGGCGGTTTTAGAGGTTGAGCCGCACACAGGCTCTCCCGGCGGCGGCGGCGTTTTGGAGTTGCGCCGCAGCAGCAACAACGGCAGCATCGGCAGCATCGGCAACATGTCGATAGCTCCAGGCCATGGGCTTTGCATAGATGAGTGGTGTAGTCGTGGAGGCCACGGGGGGGAGAAGGACACAAGCAGAAAAGGACGCCGCGGCGGCGAAGGCGTTGGCGGCTTCACAGGAATGCCGAACCTTCTCCACGAGGAGGGCGAAAATGGCATTCAAGAAGTGGCAGAGGAAGCGCGCCATGGCGCAGGGAGGAGAGGAGAAGGAGGCCGACAACACTGCGTCGTGATGTGTGTGTCTTGACGTGCGTAAACCAGATCTTCATTTTTTTTTTAGCACCCACGAAGGGTTGACTGCTCCCGAGGTTTTGTTTAGTTTAGTGCATGCTGTATCGTAAGTGTAGTGATGTCTATTTTTTTTTTTACGTGTATTGACTACTGTGCGAAGCGTGGAGATTCGTTCACGTGTACACATTTTTTATTGGCGTGCTTGACCTTCGAGGGTGTTGTCGAGCAAGCGTGGTATAGTATCTGTACAAATGCAAACAGGGGGGGTCGTGGTGTATTTAGAGCAGGTGGTAGAGGGGCAAGAGGGCTCTTCGGGGGCACGGTTAGGGGGTTCCGTGAATGCAAAGGGGATGTGTCGTGTTAGGGGGCTCCGTGTATGATTTTTGCCACAAATGTTGCATATCGAAAAAAAAAAAACTCTGCAGCTATCGACGTATCTCGACGAGGCGGTCACGACTATCGTTGTTTCACGTACCAATTCTCTTTCCAAACGAAGTTATCGCACAAAACGTAATTGGAAATATTTGTGCACGGACCATATATTTCAAGAGACGATAGACCACCGTGCGATCAAGAACTTAGGCCTGTTTGTACGTGGTGCAGCAGCCCAGAGCCTCAACCTTATTCTAGCGTCCGCGCTAGAGTGGCGGCCTGAGTCTCAGCTTGAAGCACTCCGTGCTCAAGGGTCCGTATTGAAATCGTACCGCCGAAAGCGTGGGACGAATGGGTCACGGCTTTCACAATTCGGTTTGCACCTGCAAACCGGATCTCGCTCTTGGCGCGTGAAGTCATGACACTTCAGGCCAAGCCGGGTGAAGGAGTAGACATGCTCCCACTCAGAGTAACGCAAGCCTACTCACGCCTCATCGAAGAAGCAAAGCGTACAGCAGCACCACCAAACATTTCCCCGCACGAACACGCTCTCGAGCAAGCTAAAATCACTTCGTTCGAGAATGAATGGTTTGCCGCCTGAAATCCGAGTGGAGCTGATTTGAGAAGATCCATCGCAAACGTTTATGACATCAAAAGCGCGAGCACGCAAGCATGAAGCAAATAGGCTACGATCTCCCTCACACAGCTCATCCACGACGGTCTCGGCGCTGTCCCACCCGCCCATAATCCAAACGCAGATCATGGACAACCAGTTCCAAATACATACATACTGGAACGGATCTCAGCGATGATTGCCGATCGATGTGGTCAAACCAAACGGCAAGAAAAAAGCACCGGGAAAGAACGGTGGCGGCCAAAGGAGACAGCAGTCGGGGTCGCCGGCGGGAATGTTCCACTCCGCCCCGCCCGCTAAAAAACCAGCGGGCAAGCGCAACGGACAGGGGGGCGGGACTAACGGTGGTGGTACCAGGACGAGTGGCGGTGGAAGCGCAACCGACGGAAGAACTAGGAACTCCGTCGAGTGCGACTACATTATTATTGGCTGCAAAGAACACGCGCGCCGGTTCACAACTCGAGGGCCGACTGCCGCATCGAAGCTGACCACAAGGCGAAGGACCTGAAGCTTCTTAGCGGATAGGGTTGCCCTGGTAGGCATCATCCCTCGGCCAACGTGGGACACCAGTCGATACGTCGATGCGCAGTAAAAACAAACTGCAGCAAGAGAACGTTAGAAAAGCGTAGCAAGAAGACAAGAGGGATAGAGGACAGGAAAATAATGTTCGATCTCTGGTGGCCGAGTCAAAAGCAGTTTTTAGGGCATCCCGCGAACAAGCAGACGGTCTTCCAAGTATAAGAGTAGCCAAAAAAATGCAGCAGGAGTAACCCGTAGTCCTACAGGAATAAGCGCCCGGGCAGCAGATGTAGCCAAGAAGTTTACGGCACGTAGTGCAGTAAAACTAGCACCACAAGCCCTACACATATGTGCGATTGCAGGCAGCTTCAGGTCGAAACATAGGTCAAAAATCCTGCGTGCCGACTGTAATAATGAAGAATTTTCTGCTTTTCACGCTTCAGCACTGGCTGGATATCCACGAAATCCATCAGTGTTGCACGCGTCTTCGCGGCGCGTGTGTGTTCCCGCCAGAGTATATGATCACCCGGTTGAGCAAATGACAATTGACAATCGACGCAGCGTGTGACATCCCGTGCATTTCACAGGAATTTGTACGTCGTCACCCCACGCTGAAAACACGGCAATTAGTGCTGTGCCTCCCGGAGTAATAAATCTTAGAAGCGCTGATGGCTCCATCCTGAAAATCAAGGGATATAGACTATGCGATTCGAACTTACACTAGGCGAAATTACCCTACCGGTTGCGCTAGTGTTGCCAACATTAGGACCGGACAACATGTTACTTGACAATAGTATCATGGAAGCCTGTGGTGGTGGTGTTTTGGATTGGCAAAACGAAGAGTTGTCGTTCAAAACATCACAGGAAAAAATTAACGCTACACATAGGCTCGTCCGTTTTCCGGCACACACTGGAACAGATGAAAACAACTGTTCAATAGTCGCTTTAGACAAGGGCACACAATCTGTGCCTGCTTATCTCAACAGAAAATGCTGCATACCCGCGCGTCAGGAAATCGCACTGGAAGCGCATAATAATACGCTGGTCGCACCACCTGATGAAAATACAACAGCTAGCTATGGTCTAGCCGCGTATTGTTACAGCATCGGATCTGGACTCACCGGATACATACACCGCAGGCTTTCCGCAGGATTGCAGTGGCCCGTACTGTGTGTCATTGGTCTTCTCATAAAAAAGCCGCGGTTCAAATTGCCAACCCATCTAGCCGAATAATACGTCTTAAGAAACACACTTTAGAAGGAAATATTTCCCCGGTGAAAGCAGTGGAACCGCAAACAATAAGCAGCGTTCAATCGAGTCCACAAGAAACAGCTAAACACCGTGTTCTCCAAAAAGCGTTAACCAAAGCTATTAAGGATACCACCTTCTCTCCGGACCAGTGTGAAGAGTTACTACAGCTGTGTACACGGTACCGTTCTGTGTTTTCTCTGAGTCTGGCCGAGCTAGGCAACTGTACGCTCACAGAGGCCGATTTTCCCCTCCACCCAGGAACACAAACAACCAGTTAAAAGAGCACCTCATCGCGCAATTCCGCGAGCACAAGAGGTCATTGATAAGTGTGTGGATGACATGGAAAAAGCTGGCATCGTAGAGCAACAAGGAGCAAGCCCATGGGGATCTGCCGTATCTTTAGTAGCAAAAGCAGGCGGTACCCCTCGTTTCTGTGTAGGCTACAGACCAACGATAAACCTAAACAAGAACTTCATCCGAAAATCGTGGCCCATGCCAGAAATGGCAAGTCATATCGACACGGTAGCAGGCGCGAAATACATAACTAGGAGAGGACCCCGTGGCCTTCAACAAGGGAGACAAAAGGAAGGGGGTAAATGGAAAGAGAGCGCCAAGGACCCGGAGGTGTTGTACAACAAGGTCGAGGACGGGGCGGCATGGTTCATGAGGAAATGGCACAGGCAGGAGGCGGAAGCGTCCGCGAAGCGCCAGCGCGCGAGGGAAGCATAAGAAGCAGAGAGTACGACCTCAGGACCGAAGAGAAAGAGAGCCGGGGAAGAAACGGCGACCGGACACTCCTGTAGAAGCGAGTAGGGCGGCCGAGGCAGCACTTGTGGCGAACTACGTACCCGGCTGATGCTGTTGCGCCCTGTTTCCCTCCCTGCTGTATGCTATACTCCTTTATGTATGTATGTCCTTTGTATTGCCTTCGGCCTCTGTGCTGTGTTTCTGTGTTTCTTTGTTTCATGACCTCCCTGCCTACTCTGCTGTGTTGGGTACCGTGATCTCGCTTTGCTGTTGCCTTTGTTTTTGTACGTCTGGCTGTCTGCCCATCTGCCGCCTTCTTGTCCTGTTTTCTCCGTTACTCCCATGCCCTGGTGCGTAGTGCCCGGTGCTGGTACGTTACCCTTTGATTTTTTCTTTGGGCGGGTGTGGGAAACGTCCTCCTTATTTTTGTTGTTTTGTTTTGATCGGTTTTCGAGGGCTCTTTTCTCGAACGGTCGGTGCGATACCTGTTATTTTCTTTCTATCATTTTGTGTTCTTTTTCCGAGTGGTTTGTACCCTATTTTTGTTTTGTTTCCCCGCGGCGTCGTATGTGCCGGGTTTTGAGACCACGGGCTCCCCATTTTTTGTGGACTATAGAGCTAATGTGAGAAACAACAACAACATAACGGTCTGCGATGTCCAGAGCGCGCACCACCAAATTCCAGTCACTAACCCAGACGAGCAAGATAAAACGGCTTTTTTTGTTACGAGTAAAGGAAAATGGGTGTTCAAACGGCTTCCTTTCGGCATAGCTAATGCACCTTTCCTGTTTCAGCGTACAATGGCGCTTGCGTTCGCTCACTTTGGTCCAAAGTCAGGTCTGTTGGTGTAGTACATGGATGATCTGATATGTTGCTCATCACCATGGGAAGGACATTTGACCTTGTTGGAAAAAAACATATCAATCGCTACAAGCGGCAGGTCTTACCTTGAAACCATCGCAGGTGCAATTCGGACCCAAGGAAGTAAACTACTTGAGGCATATTCTCTCTTCAGAGGGAATTCGGCTTGGTGAAGATAGAATATAATCAATCTTGGAATTACCGGCACCGACGAACATCAAAGAGTTGCGATCAGTACTAGGAATGGTCAACTACGTCAGGAAATTCATCCCTGATCTAGCAACCATCACCGCACCCTTGGTTGACCTTACAAAAAAGCAAGCAATTCAATCAGTAGCGAAACGTTGGCGTCCGGAGCATGACACAGCATTTGCAGAAATAAAGCAACGCTTAACTAAAGCACCAGTGCTGCATTTCCCGGACTTTTCTAAAGAGTTTGTGCTTCATGTCGATGCCTCGGAAGTAGGAGCAGGAGCATTCCTGGCTCAAAAGAACGGCAACAATCTGAATATTATAGCGTACTTTTGCCAACGCTTTAACAAAAGCCAGCGACATTACTCTGCAACCATCAAGGAGTGCTACGCCGTGGTACTGGCGATCCAACATTGGCACCCGTACTTACGGGGTAGACACTTCACGTGCGTCAGTGATCATGCAGCACCAAGGTATCTCTACACCATGCAAAACACTTCGAACATGCTTACGAGATGGGCTATCGCAATGCAATCCTTTGACTTCACGGTACAACACAAACCGGGGAAATTGCATGTAGTACCGGACACGCTGTCACGACTGTTCGCGTTCGAGAACGAACAAGACCGACTCGTGCCAAGTCTTGCGCCAATCTGCCGCAATGTACCAGACGATCCCAACTTCCAAAGAGCAACACCTCAAAGACCATACCAAGTACAACCTGTCCCTAGCGATAGGGAGTTGTTTTCTGTCAGCGCCACTACTGTTTTCGAGTCTGTTGATGAAAGCCAGCTGCGTAAGAAGCAAGAAGCAGAGTACGGTGAATATATCCGTTACATCCAAGATGACAACGCACCGCTACCAGACAAGGAAACGACAGCCACAATGTCATACTATTCCTTACAAGACGGTATACTGTATATATCTTGTTTACCCTCCGGAAAGGAAGCACGTTCAAAGATCAGCTGGTGTGGCCGAGCGACCTAACAGGGTTGGGAATGCACGCATATCATGATCACGCGTTTTCTGGGGGAGACTACGCGTAACAACCGACATAAGTATGAGAAGATTAGACAGAATGGTGGCCGCCTAGTCTATGGCAAGAGATATCAGAACATGGTGTCTTCAATGCTAAGCATGTCAACGAAGAAAGACTACCCACCGCCGTCCCCAGCTGCTAACAGGTCACGCGCCCGTGGAGCGACCGTTCCAAAGAATATCGGGTGACTTGGTAGAGTACAAATCCATTTCGAAGTCAGCAACAGGAGTGCCATGCAAGTATGTACTATCTATGATGGCTCATCTGACTCGCTGTGCTATCCTAACGCCGATTCCGAATAAGGCCGCTGGAACGATCGCGCGTGTGATAATTGATCAGTTGGTCAGTATTTTTGGACCACCAGAAGCACTGCATTCTGATCAAGGCATGTTCGTGTGTTTGGATACGGACTGGTTAGATCTACCGGCCACAACAGAGGGCACGCAGATGGGGCATATGTACACCTTGAATGGCTGCATGTGCGGGGACCCCTCGAACTCCAAAGAGGGCTTCACTTCTCCCTACTCGCCTTGCGTGTCTAATACAAGAGATAAAACGTCTTCCCCTTCCAAGTAAAGGACATACTTCACGAACACACCAGTGTCAGTCCCTCGAGGGAGAGTCCATTAGGGATGTCAGGTCGCAAAGATGGGGGTGACTTCTCCGGCGACTCTGCGGCGGAAGACAGACAAAGGTTAACAGAAGAGCTCGTGGCCCTAAGGACGCAAGTTAGCTCGCTGACGGATCAGATGAGCCAGCCAATGTCGCTAGTGGAAGATACCATGAAGGCAAGCAAGAAGGAGGAGCCAGCTGGCACCATGGAGGGTGCCGCTGATCGCGGCGATGCTAAGGAGAGCGCCGCCGCGGAGTCCACGAATGCCGAAGGA